GGGGGGAGGGTGAACGCACGCGTGATGCAACATAAATAGTGGTTCAAAAGCTGAATATTCCAATGGCCACATATGCCCCCAGTACGGCGAGTCGCGTAGATATCCCCCACCAATGACGCCGTGGACCCAGCCGTGGGCGTCTTCGAGGGCGGACGAGAAGCGCGAGAAGGTGCTTGAGCGGAAGGCGACGCCGACTTGGGCGATGAGATTGTTGGATTGGCTTTTGAAGGCTTCAGAGAAGAGCCAAGGGCGTGAAGGTGAGAAGGGGTCGTCTGAAGATGGCCAGCGGATGGTAGAGTTCATTTTTCGCCACTGCTGTGTTGTTAATTTTTTTTTTGAACTTGTAGGTAGATGATATACGCACTTTTCCGTGGAAACCAGTGGGTAGTGGGTGGAACTTGTATGAGAACAAGGGGTTGTCCATGATTACTGGCAAGCCCTTTGTATCTGTAATCGTGATTGTAGGGGATAAGAAGACATCGGGGACCGGGCCGAGCTTGGTGCCTTGAGCCCAGTCCCAGTATGGTATGCGGAACTCACGGGCGGCAGTGAGGTAGCGTTGAGATTGATCTGCCGGGGCGTTCGCAGCAATGTCGTAGACATGGTTGGAAACGATTTGCTATATGGGATCAGTTATTGTCTCAAAATATCTGTTGGTACACCTTGTCAAGAGTTGAAAATGAAGGAATCTCACCTCGAACAAAGCAAGATACGGCCTATGCCATCCCAAGAATAGCTCGTTGTCGTGTGGACAGTAGCCCACCTTGCCAATCTTCTCAGGCAACCCAGGTGCATCCCCCCATGTCTTATACGGTCTTCCGTGTATAGCTACCAAAACAAGTCAGTCCTGGTCCACACATCACAAGTCTCATACCTACATGCCAGACCATAGAAGGAAAACGGATCGCTCTGATCAGCGCGATGAAGGCTATCCAATGCCAACATGTACAGACTCCATTGATCGGGGTAATTATCCATCAGGTCCCTGATCTCGCGGCGAATATAGACATTTCCTAGAGCGAGTCAATTAATCACTTTCTTTCGACATTCCAATCGCATTACCATTATCATCCCGTGAAGTAGCACCAGTCACTATATTCGTCTCAGACTGGCGTCTCACATAGGTCCCCTCATCCTGCAGCGCCGCACACGCCGTACCCGAAACAAGCACAGAAATTGAAAGCCTTAAGATGGAGGATCCACGCATTGTAATCGAGAAATTACCAGTAGACGTTGTGTATGTTATCAGCTGGAGATAAAGTCAGTGGGCGTACATAGCTATTCATACCCCAAAACCCTCATCCATGGATATCTGGAACCAGTACGCCAGCACTACTACTAACTCAACGTGGACATGGACAACAGTTTGGCAAGTCCGTGACCGCAATCTGTGACGTGGATAACCACCCTCAACATCGCCCAGTAGTAACGTGGCAAGATAGGTATCCGTTAAAGTGGCCCACACCACCCTTACTATCAAGCAGATGCTCCATCAGCCACCCGTCCCGCCACTAAGTTGAAAGCAAACAGATGGCTGATGTGGCTTGGCTACTCCTACTCGTACTCCTACTACTACCGGCTTCTTGCCAAGCAAGGGTCACTCCACTTACCTTGGTATTGCCTGCACGTGGCGTAAACACCATGCCAAGTCTATACGTGACGAATTGACACGCACCTGAGTCTGAAAGACGTTGGTCTTCGCAATTGCGCCAATGTCTAACCATCAGCGAAGCACACAAGGGCGAGGAAGCGCAAACGTACATGGGTATGCTTTTCTGATTGCGACTGGAAACGACCGAAAAGGTCGCTGAGGCGTCGATGGAAGAGGTTTAGAAAAGGGGTAGTATCGTTGGCATGGTGGGTGTGCTTGTTGCGTAGGTGAAGGACTTGTCCATTCTTGGTGTGTGATCCCGTGAGTGTGGGAGTACGAGCATGGTACAAGGGGTTTTCTTTTCAGGAGAGCTGTGTAGCATGTAACGTACGGGTGGCTTGCCGATACTTGGACTAATTCCTTTTTAGTTGTTGGATGAGGGCGGTCATTTGATCTTCTCGAATACTTGAGGTTAATGTTCTGCTCGATTTGTCATGGCTGCAAATTTGCTGGCTCATAGGATGGAAATGAGCGGCGCGTCACGAGACAAGTCTGCTAAAGTCAGTGTTGTACAAGGTATTTGGAAATATGCCTAGCAGGATGATTTGGCTGCGGCGACGTGGTTGATGGGACACACGTGCCCAAGATGGAAACAATCAAATGCGATGATGAGAGCTACTATCTTTAGTCTCTAGCGTTTACTATCAATTACCGTGCTGTCCTAAACTGGTGAAACATTGCTTCGCTTCCATTGCTTCATCTTGACGACTGTGCGACACGCAAAGAACTGATATACTATATGTGTGGTATCGGATTTCCAGCAAAATATGCTCAAAAGGTCCGTCGTACAACTAGGAGATGCCGAGAGAAGAGTCTACCCGTACATGAGCGCATGGAAAGACGCTTTGAATAGGAGAATACTGTGATGAGAAAATGAGTCGTCTCATTTGACATAGGGGTCATAAAATTCGTTAAAGCATACCAAATGCAGTTTCGGTGCAACCATGGCACAGCCTTAAATATCGTTGTAACCAAGCAGCCGCTTATCTAGGTCCTTGTCCGCGACTGCCCAAGCCCACGCACGACCAGCTTCGCCACACCATAGGGCTGACGGATCATCAGACTTTTCAAGCATGGCGTCCTTGGCCATGGACTTGATTTCATGGCCGGTCGTGTAAGTCATAAAGTGTTCGAACTGTTTGCCCTCCAAAGCAAGAGCATTTCCCGTGATGCCGTGGCAGAGACAGGGCTCTTTTGTCAAAAGTCCTCGTTCCCAGATACATTCTCTAGCCTTGGCAACAACCCTGTCAATCCGGTCACGAAGCCCAGGGAAATACTTTCGGATTGAGAGAAGCGAGATAACGACACCAGGCGCTCCATGGCAAACTTGTACGAGCCTATCACGCCCTGGCGGCAGCGATGACGGAAAGTTTCCACTTTCGTACTGATAGCTCAGCAAGGCGCCTAGCTCGGCATCCAGTTTGGGCGCCCACGCAGGGTCTGTGAGGACAATCTGTGTGATGATGCCAATGGCCCCATGAACAGCACCAACGTACGCCTTGCCGTGCCATTTCCAAGGACGCGGACTATCCATGATGTTTTCGATAATCTCATCCGCAGTGTCCTCAATGAGTTCGGTGATTTCCTTGTTGTCGGTAAAAGCCTTGCGGACCAGTCGGAGAAGGTATAGATAACCCGCGCGGCCATAGAGCCACTCGTTGGAAGTGCCGTCCTCAAGCATGACTGCCGCGTGATCACAGAGTTCCTTGACAGTGTCTGGGTCTTTTGCTGTAATGGCGTACAGCGCAAGCAGCGACATGATGTCGTTTGAGACACCGCATTTCTTAGGAGATGGTGGTGGAAATTCCTTGATATGAGTCTGGGCCTGTTCAATGTAGGCTGCCGACCAAGTATTCAAAGGATAGCCATCCAGCTTCAAGTCCGGGTAGAGGTCGTGCAAGGCATAGAAGAGGAAGGCAACCGAGATGGGACCATAGTACAAGCCTCCGCCTGGGGGGATGTGGTGTGGAGGGTAGTCGGTGATCAGCCGGTCCAAAGACGCTAGTAGCTGCTTGTGAGGGTCTCGTCGCGCGAGCGGTGCATCGTTCCGGAAATAGCGGGGTATTGAAGGCGGCGCTGCTTTTTCCGCGGTAGCAGCAGACGGAGCACCTTCTTCAGACATGGCGACAATGGAATCAGAATTAGATGAGGCAAGTTCTTTGTTGAAAACGAAACGAGCAAAAGTTGGCGCAAGTTCAGGATTGCTGCGACTGATCCATTTGCAGCAACGTCTTTCACGCGTGCGAAGTAGCGTAGCGGCCCAAGCGTGACGTCAGTGGGGTCCGCAATATCATCCCATGATTGGCCTTGCACCACGTCAACTCTGTCAACCCCGGCGAACGCCCCAGTATCTTCCATCTAATTTCACATTTTTGCATCTTCTTTTTCGGTCCGATTTATTCTAGGTATATAGTTTTCCTCATCTAATGTGTCCACGATGTTTTTTTGTTCGCATAGTAATAATGTACGTATAGGCGGCTGCAGTGGTGAATGAGGGGTTCTATCTCACCCAACGAGCCGACGACCTACGCACGTGTGCTGTTTAGATGACTACCACGAGATCATGTGATCATACTGATCTTTCCGTTTTCACTTCTTGCTACATATCTATTGTACAGGTCATTACAGTGCGTTTCCGGGGTGTCCTCTGTCTTCTCCACTGCAGTTTGTCCATAATCAACATCATTGCATCCGCCTCATGATTCAACAAAATCCCAATAAGAAATCCGCCTATCTATCTACAGAGTGACCGGGCCACGGGAGAGGCTCCGCTGGGAGTTCTGCAAATCGTCCCGTCGAGTCACGTCGGTGAAATTGGGGCAATATCTCTCGACTGTCCAGTTGTGGGGGTTCGCTTGTTTCCATGGTATCAGATCTGTATAACTCTGCTACCATCTTTTGAAACTGTGATGATGCTTTGCCTGAAATTATGTCAGATTCCATACTATCTGAAATCGCGACATGTGAGAACCTACTCGAGAGCTGTGGTGTCATGTCACCACCAACGCATGGGGAAGGATATGCTGGCGCTTTGTAAACCTTGGTCAATTTACGTTTTCGGATGAAAAAGAAAATGGCTAGCAAGAGAGCGCAGAAAATAACGGAACCGAGGACTGCACCAACAATCGCTGCTACCGGTGTTGAGCGTCCATGACTTGGCATTGATGGTGCTGCAGTAGATGTCCCTGTCACTTTTTCTGTAACTGTTCGATATGGTGGCTCCGCGAGACTAACAGTAAATTTCGATTCAGATGATGGACTCGTCGTAGTTGGTGATACTGTTCTCGTAGTTATAGTCATTGAGGGAGATTGAGTTGGTGTTTTAGTTGAAGGGACAATGGTATTGGATGGGCTGGCGATGGTCCTCGAGATGTCACTCGAAGCTATGTAATGTTAGCTGAAACCACCAAATCAACAGCGCATCAACTTGCATCGACCTGGAGTGAGGTCCTTATCCGCTGGACAAGTACTACCCGGCATGCAAGGGTCCATGGTGCAGCAACCACGAAACCCATTGCACACGTAGAATACACCTCCTGCCGGGCAATCGCCCACACGAGGTAAAAGTATTGAGGCCATTGCTAAACTTTGCGGCTCTAGATCGTCAAGTTACAGCGATGCTGCCGAGAACGACGAGATATGAGTATACCATGGTGGCCATGGCTAAGCCTCACAAGCATGTTTGCAGCAGTTCATGAGCACAGCACAGACGCAGTGCTGCTGCCAGCCGGCGTGCGTGCGCAAACAAAGCACCGCACAGCAAGGGCGTGCCTAGGCCTGACTCCTGATCGGACCCGAAACACCATGCCTGATGCAGATACTTGGTCAAAGAAACTACCAGACTATTCCCTGCTCACTTTGTGTCTTGGCTGCAGGAACTTCAGGTAGTATCTTATTATAGTATGCAGCCTCGTTGTTGGGGTGTCAATATGGGGTTAAAGACGTCTTTAGATCAAATCTCCACACCTTCGCTTGATGCACCAATCGAACGGAGTCTTGTAAGCCCCAAAGGCTGTCTAGTCCTGGCACATGGGTTTCACCAACGCATATGGGGTGTATCGCACCTCAACGGCCTCAAGTTTGGGACGTTATGACGTGCCGCTAGATGGCTGTAGCTTGTAGGCTTGCTCGGGAGTCAAACGCCGGCTACTTACCTTGGTGTGTTCGTTCCCCTCCCGCAAGTGTCTACTTGACAATCACTCCATGACAGGAAATCCGTATCACCATATCAAAACGGCTACATCCATGTCACACGAGCAAATACACTAGTGTTATTCCGGGTCCAAGACATACGTTTGCAAGCATAGTGAAGTAGCACGCTTCAGTTTTGTAGTGAGATGAAGAGCAAGGTAAGCGTTCCGTGGTTGGCGACACGATTTAAGTGCTTCTTCTGTGGAATAACGGGTTTATTTTCCTTTTGGAAATTCTTCGGCAGGCTATTTGGCGAGGGATAGACATCATCGTATTGCGACGGAAATGCGTTGACAGCAAAAAGCCTCATACTAATGCATCATTCGCTTTTTCTACCTATCAGACATCATAGCGACTAAGTATAGTCAATACTAACATCAACAGAGCAATGATGAAGCTTCCAGCGCCAAATATGACCTCCCAACTGCCCCAGAAAAAGCTTCTTCCGATTGCTACCGAAGAGAAAAGGATACCCAAACATGCAACCAGGGATTTTATAGGACACCACGCAGTCTCAACGTACAAGCCCTCTAGTTCTAGATATCTATTCTAATATTCGAACTTATTGTACAGAAGATGGATGTCCCTGGCAGTATTGTTGTTAGTCGGATCTTGAAGCATATTCATCTCATACTTACCGATAGCGATAGATAAATTGATAGTGAGTGGAGCCACTAAGTATACTTTAAGACTCTACACCGGTTAGATTTTGGAAGTAGCAGCAGAGGAAAGGCGCGGTTTCAATTCAACGTATCTGGTTTCTGGACCAATCTAATTCTTGGAAAGGACAGGCTGGAACATCAGGCTCATCCGAACCACCGTTTGGACAATGAGAGTCGACGTGATAGTATTCCCCAGAGCTCTCGCGATAGCAGTAATATGGAGGATCATCGGGGATGTCCGAGGGTGCTATCGATTTGATATATTTCAACACTTCTTCCTGTGTTTTGGAGTACCTCTTGTGCGATTCGTCTAGGTCTAGAGGTTGCACGAAGGCCAGAAACCTTTTTGAGTCCCGGCAGATCAGCCGGAACTGAATTTGATTTTAGTACAAGTAGGCACAGTATAAGACGGTAAAAATATACAGTAACGGGCTTAAGTCTCTTGAATCTTTTGAACACATGTAAGATTCGTGAGAGGCCAAGTTCTTTATGATACCTCTTTTTTAATGCCTTGAAGATTTCATCCTCATGCTCATCGTTAGTAATTGAAACGTCTACAGCCCAGGTTTTGGAGCTTTCAGAGTCTTCGGAGCCCCATAGCAAGAATGAACAGCTTGCACCGTCTTTCTTCTCAGCTTCCTCCTAGAAGTAACCGAAGATAGGGTTTTTAGACAATTGGGACGGCTTCGGTGAAGCTTTCTGCATAACCTCTTCCCGTTTTCTTTTCTTTGCTTTCTTCGGTTCATTGTCTGGAACAGGTTGGAACCCGGTTGGCCCTACCGCGACTCTTTCTGGTCGTGATGGAAGTTCTACTAGCGGTGATGACATAGAATAAATAAAGGTTGATGAAGACGAGCGTAGATCAAGGAATCATTGCATGCACAGAATGTTATAGAACATAGCAACCTATATAAATGAAGGTCAGTCAAATTTAATCTCTGAGGCTTCTACTGTCATAACAGCACGGCGGATTCAGGCAGAAGCACTGCCCGTTTGTGGCGGAGTAAGGCTGATTTTGCCATCATCTATAGCGCATTGATTGGTTGATCTACTTTCTCTCATTTGAATCTCATGGACGAAGGTAGCATATGTATGCTACAAGTATAAGGAGGATCACGCTGTGACGATGGCCGCATGAAAAGAGACCATTGGGCGCCACGTCAGAAGGTAAGTAGTAATCTCCGCGGGGCGAGGATCACGAGGCTGGCTTCACGCCAAGAACTGAACTTCACAACTAGGAACAATATTTCTCTTTGTACAACGAAGTCTAGAACGGTATTTATTCAAGGGTAAGAAACTACTAAGTATTGATAAATAAAAACGAAATCTTACCTTTCTTAAAGCGCAGCCTTCAACTTCCTAACGCTGGAGGGATACTCCTTAGGACAAATGACATTCCAATGCTGGATCAGTCCCGCAGCCATTGCTCGCTGTCTAGGCGTCAACAGCCCATCTGTGACCACATTGTACAACTTCCGCGCGATAACACCCTCATCCTCCAATGCCATATCGACGTACTCCTGCGAAGCCGTACTCAGAAACGCAGTCTTCAGCGCCTTACCGGACTGATCAGTAGGTGGTTTCGCCACCCTATTCTCGTCGGACTCATCACAGCCAGGGCCCTTCCAAGCCCAGAATGGGCTTCGTAGTGCGATAATCTTAGGCACGAAGCAAGCCATGTCCCAATCGACGATGCCGGTGATCTTGACGGATGTGCGGCTATTGACTTCCACCATGACATTGCGTGCGAAAAGGTCGCCGTGCATGAGGTGGAAGCGGTCGCCGAGCCAGCCCATGTCGTCGAGTACGTGGATGATTTCGATGATGCTGTACCAGAGGGTATCCTTGAAGTTGTCGGGTTTGCCGATCGACGTCTCGTACCTCATCCAGCGATTGCAGCAGTCGATTAGGAATTGGCATGGCGTCTGGTGTGGCGCCTCACGCTTTTCGATGAGATTTAGATTGGGTCGATAACGCGCCTGGTCCGCAGTGGGGATGAGAATTTGGTCCAGCTTGATCTCTGAGCTTGGCGAAGTGATGTTGTCGAAGGAAATCTGACCAGCTGCTGGCGAGGTGATGGAAGCAATTGTCTCTACGATTCTAGTCAATTGCCGAACCGCCGACGCCTTTTGGTCGAGGTTCATTTCATTCCAAAGCTTCAGAAGGCTTTCACCTGGTATAAAGTTCTGCAGCATGTACGGGCGACGAAGGGCATTGATCTCCGTGACGTCGAACTCTTTGATTGTAGGGATGGGTACTGGAAGGCGCTGGCCTAGAACATGCAAAGTCGCAACATCCTGGTTTATATCGCTCCTGATGAGGCTTCCTGATCCGCCGTTCACGTCGAACCATGGTTCTACTGGGATTCTCAGTGCGAAGGTCTGCGACTTGGGCGGCGAACCAAGCAGCCGCGTTACTCTAGCACTATAGCTTGATTCGCTATTCTGTGCATGGATCTTGGGAGTTACAGATACCCCAACGACCATGTTGTATGAACCTTGACCGAGACGTCTAATGATAGGTCGCTCAGTCTCTTTGGGCGAGAAAAGATCTGCCAATAGCTGCATAATTTTAGCCTTGAGTTTGGCGATTTTCTCGCCGTCGTGGTAGTATTCCCCGTCCGGTTTGTAGATGTTACCTTCTGCGAAGAAGTCTGGGAGAACATCTTCTTCTTGAAAGCTATCATGTCGACTACTATTTTGAGAATTCATCGACAGGCCATCTATGCCCCTCTCGATCTCGAACACAACCATATCTCGGCAAGGATTTTTAGCTGACATGGCGGATGCTTATAGATTGTTGTACTTATTTGATTAATTTTGTGAGTCTCTGATGTATTGATGATGCAAATTGTTAGTGCATGCATTCGAAGAAATGGGAGATGAAAGTCTTATAGTTTCCCAATCCAACGTAGTGAATCCAGGACTGGATGTTGTGTATATACTGCCCTCGCGATATTTATGCACAACGCCCCAACTTTTCTATGCCTATGTTAACAAAAACTCGGAATACTATGTTTCATTCAATATACATGATGTGAGGTACGGTCAATGTTTCACAATGTCTGCTCACGGGGTGATTGACACACGTCATCAGTTACGAGCTGATTCATCCCAGACTAAACGGGATGCTTGCCCAGCATATATTATCTTATTTGCAGTACTACTTGGGCAGTATAGAATAGGTTTCAAATCATATTTTACCTGATACTGTCAGTCTTAGACTCGCGTGGCTATGTCGAGACGGAATTCATCTCATCACTTGGTCAGATCATGAGCCTGTTAGGAAATTGGGAAACTATTGTTTACACTGAGCATATGTTGATTTATGTCAGTGATAGATGCATTTATCATATGCGCGGTGATTCAAACACTCGTAGTGCCCTATCTTACTTGCATAGAGGACTTTGCTAAGTACTTATGACTTCCGTGGGTGAACATTTACCTGAACACATTTGAACCTCTGGAAGGATACTGCGGAAGGGACGTCTCGGTCCCAATCAAGATCGGTGTTGACCATTGTGTAGTCATAGCGATAGAGCGAATGTCCGAGAGAAATGCGAAGTGTCTGGTAAGCCATCTCCTTTCCAATGCAACCCCTGGTTCCCGAAAGAAAGGGCTTGTAAGCTTCCCTATTGTCGTATTCAAACAAAGTACCCGGTCCGTTGTCAAACCATCGCTCGGGCCTAAAAGACAACGGTTCGGCCCAATATTCGGGCATCCTTTGCATGGAGAAAACGTTGGCAGAGACTACCGTGCCTTTCGGAATATAAATGCCATTGATTTCTGTTCCAGGGCATGTTCGATCGGCAAAGCGGGTATTGATGGGCGGCATCAGCCTAAGCGTCTCAAAGACTATGCTGGGGAGATAGCGGAGTTTTGCGAGGCCATCTGCTGTGATTGATTCCTGGCTGGGAAAAGCGTTTCGGAGTTCCGATTGCACAGCAGCCATATACTGCGGGTTACGAAGAAGCTGGTAGAATGTGGCAGTCATCGTCATAGCTGTTGTTCCATACCCAGCAAGGCTGTAATCGGTTAGCTATCACTCGCTGAGGAAACATGAGATTACTCACAACAAGATGGAAGAGTTTTGAACCAGCTCATCGTCGCTTAGGTGAAATCCCGTCTGCGCACAATGGTCAAGGATTGCCGTCATGAAATCTCTCCTCTCATGCTGTCTTTGCAAGCAACTTGTTGCTATTAGTAAATGATCGCATTCTCAGCAAAAACGACAACTTACTTTCTGAGCGTGGACGCGCTGACTACATGCCCGGTCGTAGTCGATGCGTAAGGGAAACTCTGGAGCAATTTACCAAGAGGCTTCATGAGCGAAGGAAGCACCCAAGAGCCAAATGGGAAGAGGTAATCGTATAAATCATATGCTGCCATGACTGAGTTTGCATTGTTGATGAAATAATCAAACATGACTATATCGAAGTCAGTGACCAGAAGCGAAGGACATTCGCTTTTGTAGATTTTGATTTTCTTACTTCTTCCGTTTCCTGTTAATGTATCACCAAAACTCAGATCAGAAACAAGTTCCCATACGCTCGCAGAAATGACATCGCCGATATTAGTTACTTGACCTGGCTTTTGGACGATTTCGTCCAATCGGCCAATCATGCCTCGTACATGTTGTTGGATCAACGGTTCTTGATCTTTCAGAGCATTTGGGGTAAAGGCTGGTTCAATGCCTCTCTTCAGCTTCCTGTGCAACTCTTTGTCATGTGTCGTGATGATGTTTGTTCCGACTAGCAATAGGTTTTCGGCTTGCTCTTGCACAGTCCACTGTTTAGTAAAATATGTGTTTATGTTGTTGTTGGAGCTATTGTAGATCTTCTTCTGTGCATTGACCGTGCTGAAAGAAAGCTCATTGGGGCCGATGCGCACTACTGGGCCTGTTGGTCGTCTATTAGATAGGTCTTTCGTCATTCATTAGATATCATTAACCTACCAAACTTCGAGTGCAAGTCTGCTATTATCGTGTTAAGTCTCCTACGGTGCAGAACGCGAATCATAAAAATCTTTGTCCATCCATTGTTAGCAAGTACCCTTATGAAAAGCCATTGCCCAAACTACAGGTAACTCACGGGCGAACATCGAGCAAGAAATGGGCCAGGAATTCTTTTCAATGGATGAAAGAAGAGGTTGTAGACAATGTTTCCGAGGTGCCATGACGAAAGCTGTTTAGGCAGTTAGATTCAAGAGCTAATGCTAGAATTGTAGATGGGGGGACTCACAAGGCCAAAGAATACAACAGCGATAGACTGAGTGTCTATCGCATTCATTGAGGAGAGTGTGGCTCCCATTCTGTCGCAACACGCAAGGGATCGACTCCTAGGTAGATTGAGCGTAAAGTGAGATATATCACGAAGAGTACAAAAGGAAAGCTATTCCACGAAACGGGTGGCGTTAACAGACAAGAGTATCTATAAGCCTCCCTGAACGATTCAGTATTCTCAAGCCTTTGTTCCGATTGCTCGGCTAGTAAGCCATCTTAAAGACACCGTCTCTACATGATTATCTCTCTTTACGGGGTTGCAGATAGGACCTAGTGTAGCGCTAGTCGCGTGTAGTCGGCATACATGCTTCTTCGCCTAGTGTTCGTTTCTCGGCTACTTAATTACTTTGTACAGCTTCGCACCTTCCCTCCTATCTAGCTGTTTTCTTAAAAATCGTCGTCAATCGATTGGCCAAACACTTATCCTTCGGTCACTTGTTTACTTGACACGTTTTCGGGCCTTGGCTTCCATTTGCGAGGTTCCTGAAATTCGCCGTTGACGGATTAGATAAGATCTGACTGTTCGGTCACTTATTTGCTTCGCACATTTTCGGCATTTCCTCTCTATTTTCTACCTTGGCATGATCTGCCTTTGATGATTGGTTGGGTCAGCTAATAGGTCCGAATAGGTTACACACGCCCTTATCGTTACACGGGGTATAGCGGTGCTAGACACATTGCCATGGATGTCATTGTTAACGTGCACTCTATATAAGAGCATCGTACATTGTATTCACTATAATCAAGTTCATTGTTCTTCCACCCTGCCATCCTTGCGAAGAGCCCTGACACTTTTAGTTGAACGTCATGGAGGCTATCTTCCAGTACTCTTCTCCTATCAACCCTAAGGAGTTGTCCAAGAATGGCTACTTTTCTCAGCTCATGCCCCGTATAAACCACAGAGATGATCTCGCAAATGCTGCAACTCGGAAGCTTCTATCAGACTGGGCAGGAATGGTTGGAGATGGATGGGAGAGCGAATCTAATAGCTCACTGAGCGAAGTTGGCAATTGGTGTTCCCTAGTGTTCCCTGAAACAAAGCCGGAAAGATTAGGAACTTTGACCTATCTCACTGACCTCGGTTTGATACACGACGGTATGTGGTTTGTTCCTGCTATTTTCCCTTAGTTGACTGATGTGGTGATAGACAACACCGAAGCGATGTCTTCTGATCTAGCGAATCAGGAGCACCAAGTACTCAGCGCCGCCTTGAATGACTCCGACAACTCAAGCATACCTGGAGGCTCCCGATCTCAAAAGATTAAGAACTTGGCCGCTCAATTCTTGCTAGAAGCTATGGGTATTGATTACGAAAAGGGCTCTAGGATGATTAAAGCTTATCGAAAGAAGTGGCTCGAAGTGATGGACAGCCCACCATCTGATGCCTTCAACGATATCTCATCTTACTTGAAGTTTCGAATGAGCAATGGTGGCATGGAGTAAGTAATGTCACTCCCGTATGTTATTCTTGCAAATTACTCACATCCCTCTAGTCCCTTTTGGGCCATGGTCCTTTTCGGGATGGACATAACATTGACAGAGGACGAAATCAAGGCCACACAACACGTCATGGATGCCGTTGATTGTGCGCTCGTCCTGACCAACGACTACTACAGTTTCGATCGCGAGTACGCAGCGGTTCAGTCCAATCCCGAGGCTCGTATCGTGAACGGTGTATTCCTCCTCATGCAAAATGACGGCATCGATGAGGCGCAGGCAAAATCATCAATACGCGATCTAATCGTCGGGTATGAGTCTCAGTTCCTTGTACGATGGAAGGAATACCAAGAGAAAAATAAAAACATGTCGATAGCTCTCCGACGCTTCATGGAAGGTGCTGGCGCTATCGTCGCCGGTAACCACTGGTGGTGTACCGTGTGCCCTAGGCATCATTCTTTCAAGACCCAACCAGCGAAAGTGCCGCAAACACATGTCGCTCCCTCAAAACCGTTACCTGCCGGTGGACCGAAAAGAACTGACTCTGCGACTTCGATCGATACAATTTCCATCTCCCCTCAACTTTCACAAGAAGCACTAGTAGAGCCTATTGATTATCTCAAATCAATGCCATCGAAAGGCGTTCGGAAAGCTCTCATCGATTCGTTGAACGTTTGGTTCGATATTCCTACGAAGAAGGTGAAGAGCATCGAAGAGATCATAGATACCCTCCACCAGTCTTCGCTGATCCTAGACGATATCGAAGACAACTCTGGTATCCGACGCGGTCTACCGTCTGTTCACACAATATATGGCCAGGCTCAGGCAATCAACAGTGCAACATACATGTTTGTCCGAGCTGTGAGTCTTACATCTTCGGGTTTAAGTCCTAAAGGGCTGTCACGCCTGTTAGAAGGTCTCGAGCGTCTATTCATTGGCCAGAGCTGGGACTTGTATTGGAAACACAATCTCATTTGCCCTTCAAAGGAGGAGTACTTGCAGATGGTTGATGGAAAGACGGGAAGCATGTTCAGAATGCTGGTTGAGCTGATGGAAGTCGAGAGTCTCACGCCATGTCCTCCCATGACCAAAAAGCTCATCTTCCTCTTGGGAAGATATTTCCAGATCCGGGATGACTACATGAACCTAGTTTCGAAAGAATACGCGGCACAGAAGGGCACTTGTGAAGATCTCGAAGAGGGCAAGTTTTCCTTCCCAATCGTTGCCTGCATCCAAGATTGCCCTGCGTCCAAAGGCAAGATCCTTGGTTTGTTTCGCCAGCACGCGGCTGGCCAGAAACAGCAGCCGATCGGCATGGGGGACGAGTGCAAGAATCTTATCATGCAGATCTTGACCGATGGAGGTGCTCTTGCTACAACCAAGAGCTATCTTTTAATATTAGAAGGCAGCCTCAAAGAGGAGATCAAATGCCTAGAAGCAAAGACGGGAAAGAGCAATAGCCTCTTAACGCTGTTGATTGAGACTTTAAGTCTTACTCAATAGCGTGTCAACCCAAATTCATTCGTGCTGGTCACTTTTCAAAAACGATAATTCTATTGCCTTAACTCTAATAGTAGTACGTGCAGTCCAAAAATCCGAAGTCCAAGCTTGATAGTAATAAGTAAGGAAAGATGACAAAAATGACTTGAAGATTGCGACCATATTTGCCCCTCACAACATCCAACTCCCAAAAATTATCAAAAAGTCTAATAAAATTCCCCTAGTCGCTTAATCACGAAGTAACTTCATTATCATTTTGCGCACGATTGTAGGGAATAGAGCCAGGATACAGCTCTGGAAGTTGTATTCCATCGTCCGGGTGGAGCAGATGCCAGTCACGAACAATATCCCATGCCTCATCCATGTACCAATCAGAGGCAATACCCTCCTTGATGATGACGTACATGCGGCGAGCAAGCATAGCCTCAGGCGAGAACGCAAACCGCTTAAACTTCTCTGACGCATTGTCAAGAAAGACCTGCTTAAGAATCTTGCATGTTTCCGAGTGAGGTGATGTATTTACCATGATTTCGTCGTCAGCAATATCACTAGCGATATGGTCTTCGGTCCACAGCCAAAAAGGAGCTCGATAGGCGACGAACTCTGGCACCATGAGAGCAGAGTCCCAATCTATAACGCCGGTGATTTCGACGTCGGTGTTGCTGCGAACCTCCGCGAGTAAGTTATATGCCATGAGATCCCGGTGAGCCAGTACACAGGGTCCCTCGAGGAAGCCGCGCTCGTCCAGCGATTGGACGATCCGACCGAAGTTGCACCAGATTTCGCCAAAAGTGAAGTAGCTGTTTTCCCGATGATATTCGCTCCATCGTCGACATTGTTCAAGTAGGTGCTCGTATGTATCTTGAGGTTCGTCGGGTAGCCTAAACAACTTATCCCCCAACTTGTCGTGCTGCAAGTGGAGGCTTTCTACCTGAAGTTGTGTCGAGTCGGAGGAAAGCGCATTTAAAGGAATAGCCCCGCCTGGTCCCTCTACTGCGGCAATCTTAGGGACAAGTTCAGTGACTCGTTTGGCGATGCACTTCAGCTGCTCTATGTTCAGGGTCTTCTCGTTCATGAGGGCGGCCAGGTTTTTACCTGGGAGACGAGATTGGATCATGTAGGGTTTTCCCATGGCGTTATTAGAAGTTGGGTCGTAGCTCACTACGGTTGGAATCGGCAAATCAAGAAGTGCCCCAACAGTCTTGAGAATCGCGACATCGCGGTTCACACCAAAGTCCTCGTCCTCGCCTTCGAAACGAAGGATTCGAATAATATAAGATTTGGAATCTGGAGACTCTGATGTTTGAAGCGCTCCTTGATACCAAGATGGAAAAAGGGTCTGCAATAATGCGTGAAACCAGGTCAGGCGAGTCCGTTTGGGTCGCGGCGAGATGGTGAGAGCAGCGACTCGATTGTAGCTGCCACCCTTCATGTGCTCGACCCTAATACTAGAAACATCCTGTTCGAAGCAAAGAGCAGCTACGGCAGCGATCTTGTGTTGAAGGGTTTCGAAAGGTTCGTAAGACGAGTCATCATTGTAACTGGAGGTGGACAACTCTAATTGTGCATCCACAAAGTCAGAATCGGTTGATTTGGACGACATGATGTGAGACAAACTTTTTTGAATCTAGTCATTGTTACTGCAGTTAAAAATCTGGTTGAGTGGCTTGATTTTAGTTTTGAAACGATAGTTGAGAGGTTCTTGTAGGTTAGGGGCAGAGTGTACATTGTTTGTGAACAAATAGGGCCCCTTTGTCCGATATCACCAAATAGAGTTAGTTCAAACTGGTAGTGAGACTCACAGAACGTTCCACCGGCGGGTGAATCAACTTTCATAGTACCATTAGAGACAGTGTTTTCCACTATTGGTTCAGACCATAATAAAAAATGTCCGCCATAGTAATGCTTCCAAACTATCTATAGAGTGATAAATTTCGATTTCAACACTTCGACTAACTGAAAGGCCTTTTTAAACAATTTCAACAAATATCTAGAAACTCGGGCTCTTATCAGTCATGCCTCATAGGACAAAAACTCGACACCATTGCTCTGGCCAGAATGGATGGGTTGGCGATATAAGCCCGGGTAATTGTACTAAATCAGGAGCCGGGTCACACTGTACCAAGTACCAGATGCTTTGTGAGGGCGGTTGTGGTGCATGGCATTTGAAGAATCAAGACGGATGTCAGGAATGTCTGGCGAAGAGGGAACCGGAGGAGCGGAGGCGGAGGGCAGAGGAACAAAAGCGTAAAGAAGATGAAGCGAAGAAAAAACATGACGATTTTTTAAACCTGGTAAGGAACGTAAAAAGCCGAAAAAAGATTCTGATGCTGATGCTGGCACAGCAGCGTAATTCTGCCTTTGACCCGGATCCATACAAACAGTAGGCTATGATAGGAACAATAGAATAAAAATAGAAAGTAAACATTACATTAAGGAAAATGCTAGTGATGTACAGGCGGTAGACAGAAACCCCAAGACGGGTACTGAACGACAAAAGCTTAAGCAGCAAGGAGCGGAGAAGAAGGAGGGTTTCTTCAAACCGGGTAAAGACCGTAAGAAACCGAGAAAGAAGGATGAAAATGCTGAGCCTAAAGCTGGGCAAGCTTGATGCTCACGGTGTCAGATATCTATGAACTCTTGACTGAATCCAGAAAAAAAAGAAAAAAAGAACGGATGCCAGCTAGCCCCTATCCAGTAAAGAAGCCGAAGAGCGCCAGGGGAGGGCAGAGGAGGCGAAGAAAAAGAACGACGACTCCTCCAGCCCAGGAACCCGCCCAAAATCTGGAAGCAGATTTCACTGCACAAAGCATTAGATGCTTTGAACCAGAACGGATGCCAGCGGTGCATTACTCGGAGGGAAGCCAAGTAGCGAAGGGCGAAGGTGACTGCGAAGCCTGGCACCTGAAGAACCAATCTGGATGCCAACAATGCACCACTCGGAAGGAAGCAGAAGAACGCAGGCGAAGCGCCAGAGGCTTAAGGAGGATGATATAAAAAAAGTAGAATCCAGAAGACACTGATGCCGGTGCAGCGTAATCCTGACGTTCCCTGCTGAAAAAGACAGATAGCTGGCTATAGTAGAAAATAAAATAAAATTAAAATGTGAAGAACATAGAAGATTTTTGATATAACGGATATGTGATGAGGAGTGGAGTGATGTTGTCATTCAGTTGAGAGACCGGAACCCGACAGAGAGCCGGATCAAATAAGAATTGGAATATAAAGTATTTCGTAAAACGTCCATCCCATGTTGATGCTGGTGTGGTGGTTTTTGCCTGGGGAGAAGATGTTGGCGTCAACCGAGGTGCTGGTCTGCCATCTCTAGACGTAGCGGGTGTTTCCATCGGGCTGGCCAGAAGTCTGGGGGCTGCTGATGGATGGAGACCTTGCGGACATGGCGGGATTGATGTATGAATACAATAGGTGAGCTTGATGCCTTGAAATGTGTGTATATAAAGTATGATAGGGTTTCCAAAGGGATGGTGAGTTTTGGTGACTTTATATTGGTGTCAAGTATGGACAGTTAAGTTAGTAAAAGACATGCTGATTCGTTAGTAGGTTTATGTTTCGGAGCTTGGATTGGGTGGCGAGGCAGAATGAAAGACATTACAGTTTGATCGAATGAAGGATGAAAGAAGGGAAATGGCAAACTGCCCTGATACGTATTGTGTTGATGATAGTCAAAGCTATACGCGTTGTCCGGTCGTTGTGGTAGTTGATGATACCCCAGCGCGGAACCAGCCAATCATTGGTCTCGTGAGCAGCCGCAACAATGCTCTACGTCATTGACATTGGCATTGACACAAGGTGTCGTGACTACGCGTTCTTCTCTCACCGAATGTGGCAAATGTCGTTCTTATCGCGTAGCAAACCCGTCTTACACTTTGAAACGCGCTCGTTCAACCGCAGGTTTGCGCGTTTTACAATCTCGTTGCACTGCAGCAATCATTCTGCTTGACAGTCCACGATACCCTTTCAAGCAAGACATCACACGACCATGAAGCGTGGAGCAATCGACTCGTTTTTCACGCGCCCGTCGCCCAAGAAGCCAAAGTATGAAGTCAGCAAGGCCAAGTCGAGTCATGCTTCATATCCTTTTGCGATCCCACACCTACCAAAGGACTTTGCAGAACAGCTGGGTTTCGCGCCTGCCGGCGAGGGCAAAGTCATGAATGACCAGCTTGATTTGGATCTCGTCTATTACCAACCATACATCCCTTCCTCCATTGCTGGTGGCGTGTTTGAGTTTCTGCGGCAAGAGCTGCCCTTTTACCGCGTCATCTACAACATTACGCGTGGAGGAGTGCAGACACAAATCAACACTCCCAGATACACTACCGTTTTTGGCGTCGACGACACATCTCGGTTTACCCCTGACGGAAAGATCGTGGATGCCAAGACAAGCAAGCCGGTGGAAAAGAGCAGCTACAAATGCGCACCACGACCTATCCCGCAGTGCCTGGACGAGCTGAGAAAGGTGACCGAGGGGACGACGGGGGAGACGTTCAATTTCTGTCTCGTCAACTACTACGCCGATGGCAAGGACAGCATATCCTACCATTCAGACGACGAGCGGTTCCTCGGCCCCAACCCAGCCATTGCATCCTTCAGCCTCGGTGCAAAGCGTGATTTCCTCATGAAGCACAAACCGATACCGCCGAAAGATGGCGAGAAAATCGAGGAGCCTAAAGGATTGAAGCTATCGCTTGGCTCAGGGGATATGGTTCTTATGCGCGGTACGACGCAGGCGAATTGGCTACATAGTATACCGAAGCGTGCGGGGCCGGAGGCTGGCAAGGGGAGGATCAATATTACCTTGCGGAAAGCCATGGTGAAAGGGGGAACGGAAAATTACTATCAATACAATGTTGGATCTGGCGGGGTATACAGATGGGACGCGAAGGCCGAGAAGATGGTGCAGCAGGAGATTGAGAGAGGGAATGATGAATGATTTGTCTGCTAGTAAGGGCTTCGTGTCTGGGTTGGGCGTTGGTGTAGCGTGGAAGCAGACCTTGATCGGTCTGTCATCGACTCGAATCCATCTCTCTGTTCCGTGGTGCTTACTTATGCGTCTCTTGTCCGTCTCTTATCTGCTGGACATGATTGCACCTGGATGGATTGACGTGCTACTGGTGCTTGAGTGATTACGCAGCAGCCTAACCCGGGGCGGCGTTGGTGGACAAGCAAGAAATGGCTCGAGCGTGAGCCAAGTCAACCCCGCTCTCGGGACTGTCGCGGCCACAGAAAGTATAAATTATGGACATGGAAAGAGAACCGCGGTATCAGAGCAAAGCGCTGCGGGAAAGGGCTGGATTATGAGTGAGTCAGAGCCGCGCATAGAGTAATCATGTCATGCGCATGGATGCCTGGGGGTGCGGTGGCGACGAAGGCGTGCATCGTGCAGGCCAGCTTGGCGGGCGGGCATTGAATGAGGGTGGTCGGAGTTAAAGGCCGCCTAATTCTCCCAATGCCCTGGCACAGGTTTCCCATCCACGACAACACAACACAACACTCACCACTTATCTCTTGCTAATCCGGTATTCTCCACGTTAATCGAGTCGCCAAGCCAGGCCCGTAGTCGCAATCGTACAGTCGGGTGCTCTAGATAAGTGCAGCGCGCTATCTTGTCGTGGGTGAGACCAAAGGGAGCTCTGGTCGGGCGCAGTAGGAGCTGGTTGAGAAGGGTATGAAGCAGTGCAATACCTCGTCGCAATTACGGCTGCTGAGAGAAGAAAGGCAGTATTAGCAACAACATTTCCATACACTGGTGCTTTGCGATACCTCAACCATCAGAGCTCTAGCCGACAGCTCGCATACGCTTTGTCCCTCTGGTCTGCAAACAAGAGCACTGTACGGTGTGGCCTGACACTGAACGCATCCACCCCGCGACGGATGTTCATGGTCTCTGGACATAGATATTCGACCTAGAGGAGGTGGACTTTGGGGCGGAAAGCATAGGCTGTGTTGTGCTTGATACGCAGAATCGGCTGGGAAAGACGCAGTCAGTCGCAAAGAGGTGACCGGCAGGGCAGGGCATCAAGCCATTTGAATCCCGGACTGCAGTCGTCACGTCCCTTGGCGCCTGGAGATAGGCTCAGCTCCGAAAGATTTAAGACCTGGCTAGGCCGCGCTCGCATATTTCTCCACCGGGGCACTCTCTCACGCCCTTCTTCTATCTGCGCGGTGCTTACTCGCGACAACGCCAATCTGTACCAGACGATCCAGAACCTCACCTGTGCAGTCAGGCGACCCACGACAACGTAAGATTTCATCATACCTTCACCTCGGCGATAAGCCCTTAACTCCGCTCTCTCCACCCAACACCACACGCGCGACTGGAGCCCAGCATGCCGCCCACACCACCCTCCACAAATTCTTCGAGCGCAGGCCATTCGCCGCCAGATCCACAATTCCGGGTTGTACGAAAGAGGAATCGAGTCCCGTTGTCATGCGGCGCCTGTAGACATAGGAAGTAGGCATGCCTCTAGAAAGCCATTGCGCCCTACCCAACACTGACGCTTGCAGGTTGAAATGCAACCGTGGCCATCCCTGCGACAACTGCACCAAGCGCGGAGATACGGCGTCATGTACGTATGCTGCTCCAAGCAACCGCAAGAAGAGCTCCTCGAGCACTGGCTCTGCGACGACCCCTGATGACATGCAAAACCGCATTGACCGTCTAGAAGGACTTGTCCTCTCTTTGATGACCAATGGCGCACAAAGCGCTGGCCCGGCTGCCGCCCATGCTGCCATTGCAAGTAGCCTCAATGGTGGAGCCTCGGATCCGCCATTCAATGTTAGTCAATATAGTGCTGCCATGAGCACTGGCGCTTCCGAGTCGATTCCTGAGGAAGATGCCGAAGAAGAAAGCGAAATGGAAAACGTCACAAAGTCGATTGGCGTCATGAAGGTACACAACAACCAAACCGTGTTTGCTTCAGAGGCACATTGGTATGCCATCTTGGGGGAGCTATCCGAGGTCAAGAACTACTTCGCAGAGCACAAGAAACAGTTCGAAGATCAGCTCAAGAAATATAGAGCAACACACATCGGAGACCGGCCCCCAGGAACATCTTTCATCATGGGTGGACAGAAGCCCTGCTCCAAAGCTGAAGTCTTGTCACACTTTCCTCCCAAACCGACGGCCGACCTTCTCGTATCGCGATTCTTCAATACCTACGACCCTGGTATGCACATCATTCACGGGCCATCTTTTCAAAAAGAATACGATCGACATTGGTTACAGCCAGAAGAGACGCCGGTCATCTGGCTCGGCCTTGTCTTCTCCATGATGTGCATCGCACTGCAGTCTTACACTCGGGCTGGAGACGAGCCACCAGAGTACCATAACAAGTCTTGGGAGATGTCAAGAGAGTATGGTGAGCTAACTGCGCAATGTCTGACTTTGGCCGACATCACACAGCCGATTACTGGCATGATGGAGACATTAATATTACATGTCCACGCTGAGTATGCTCGAAGCAGAGACGCCGAAGTAGGCATTCTTATCGGTACTGGCATAATCGTACGGTTAGCCATGCGCATGGGACTTCATCGAGACCCTGGGCCATATGCCGGTATTTCATTATTCCAAGGCGAAATGCGAAGACGTATTTGGGCAGTCGTGCGTTCAATCGATTTGCTATTCTCTGCCCAGGCAGGGCTACCGCCCATTATCAGACCGCGGGATACCAATACGGAGATTCCGAGAAATCTTTATGACGACGAGCTTCATGAAGACATGAAAGTTCTTCCGCCATCGAGGCCCGAGACGGAAGCAACTCCCACCCTCTTCTTAATCAATCGAACTCGTCTCATCTACAAGCTCGGCGAAGCTGTCGAGTGCACGGATACCTTGACCTGCGCATCCTATGAAGAGGTAATGAGGTTGGATGCAGAGGCTCGTGAATTACATGAAAACATCTCGCCCCATCTCAAGATGCGCGGCATGGACGAGTCAGCACGGGATCCCTCGACTTTGATCATGCAACGCTTTACACTGGACCTGCTCTTCCTGAAGATCATTTGCGTACTGCATCGGAAATACCTGGCTTACGGCAGAGTACAGTCGCGATTCTGCTATTCAAGAAAAGCCGTTATTGAAGCATCGTTGGTGCTCCTGAAGCACCAAGCAACCCTGCATAGGGAGTGTCAGGCTGGTGGTCGGCTGAGGAACGTGAAATGGTTCATCTCATCGCTGACAACCGTCGACTTCCTCCTCGCTGCGATGATTGTGTCGTCAGATCTCTACCACAGCACGGCACAATCTACTCCTCGGTCTCCATCATCATCAACCGATACAATGTGTTGGAGTTCAGATCGGGTCGACGAGATGCTAGACGCGATCGAGATAGCAGTCGGCATTTGGGATGGCCTCAAGGACGGCTCCATGGAAGCATATAAAGCACATGCAACTCTCAGCGTCATGTTGGAGCAGCTGAAGAAACACCGAGTGACGAAACAAGCACCAAATGGATTCCAAGCAGCTTCATCAACATACCCAATCACACAAATGGAAGATGCTAACGTTGCTCCGGAACATTCAGCAGCGATGACATTGGGTTTACTCAGCACAGGTGGCATGACACCCAATGCAAACATGTTTGATCAACGATACCCAGCAGGCATGGCCAATCTCTTGAACGACCCAGTTTCTCAGCCATCTACGGGTTTAACACCCCAGTACAATCAGCCTATGGGTGGTCCCACAGGGGCTGAGAATGTACCAAGTCAGTTTTCCAACTTGTTTGGAGCGAACCTCTTTCACAACCTGGACCTACCACCAACTGACAATATCAACTGGGTATGCTAAATTAATTCCTGGGGAAATTTACATTGGCTAATGCTTGACAGGACGCATGGGACTCGTACATTCAAGGACCCGGCATTGAAACTACCAACAGCTTTTTCCAGATGGATCTTGGCAACATGCCAATGCAGACGGAACAAAATGGAGCACCACCAACAGGACAGACGCTCAATCAGCAGTCTACTGCAGCAGGCCAGACAAACATGTTTGCGCAAGATGTCTACATGGGCGTGAGTATTTCTGAGTAGATACGCGTAATTGAAATCATGCATTAACAACACCTAGGCTGACGTGAAACCGGGAGCCGGCGAAAGCTACGTCAGCGGCTTCAGAATGCCAAAGTCGTCCAACTAAAATTCCAGTGTACACCAACTAGCCCATATCTAACGTGCCACGAACCTTTGTTGTACAACGTATGTTACCCATTGTTGTGTTCCATCCAACTACACTCACCCGGTGGTTTTTGTGCGCGTAAGGGGCGGGCCCTGGGGGCCAAAATCTTTCCCTAGTAGTTAGGTAGCTGTATTTAGAAACCCATGTATGGATGTTCCAGCTGAGAGGTCTTGGATGGAAGGGGGCGCAGCACTATGCTCTTGTCCCCGAATGCTGACTACCTTGTTTCTCATCTCATCTGCCCCTTCTTTCGTGACGAGGCTACTAACCTGCCTTCTCTCCCTCTCCTCCCTTGGTATCTTTTTTTTTCCTGCTTGGAACGCACGCGACTTGTTTGTAGCTTCGAACTACTCGTGTAGTTCGCATACACTTTTGTGCCCCGCCCACCCACCTGCGCCACGCTACGCATACGTCCCCGCACCCCCCCCGCCATCCCACCTTACCTACCCATCGGATCCCGAGTATCGCGGTCTTGGCTCTCTGCTCACAGCTGCTGCCTGCCTACCTACCCTTTCCATCCACCCCGAATCCAATCTCAAACTCAAACTCAAACTCAAGAGATATACATATACATACACACGAGCTTTTGTATCGTTGTCGCTTTTCCACATCTGCGCCATCACTACTTCTCGCTGCGTTCGAGAAAGATGACGGCGAGTACGTCGCAAGCGTCAACGGGGTCGACGCTGGTCCCAACCGATGCGCCGGCTATCAACTCGCAACCCGTCGAGTTGGATGCTAGTGCGAGTGTTACGCCTGAGGAGGTGAGCAGGAGGAGGGGGAGTGAGATGGGGGTTGGGGGTAGGAGGGGGAGCGAGGTATGATTTATCTTCTTTTCTTTCTTATTTCCATTTCGGATATTCGGATATTGTAGCGAGGTGGTGAGAAGTGTGAAGGGGGGAAATGGGGGTGAAGAGGTAGCTGACAAAGTGGATAGAAGAGAGATCAGATTGTTGCGCAGAGAAAAGGGGATCCTGGTGTTATTGTTGATGTGCCGGGAGGATTGACAGCGGAGGAGGTCGAGGCTGTGGGTAAAGTGGTTCGGTGATCTAATCCATGATTTTCGCTGGGAGTAGAGGGGGTTCGGGTTCAGACAAGGCCGTAGGGGCTTTCAAGTAGAAAGGGGATATATTTAATATTTACAATAAAAGAGCTTCGAGATGCAAGGCAAATGGGGAAATGTTCTATTTACAATTCGTACCCCCATACACAAACTTGCCATCACTACTATTCTCGCACCCACACGTACCATCAACGGGACTCCGGATACATCCCATTCCTTCGCCCTCGCCCTCTCCTTGCACACCAGCTGCGTTCCAGAAAAACGTAAACGTATCTTTACGGCTAGCCATCTTGGATCCCGGAGCGCAGTTGTAGGCTTCGCAGGTGCCGTAAGGGGCTCCGTGGGATTTGTCGTATTGGTGGTCGATGGTGAAGACGGCAAAGGTTTGCTTGCCCAGACGCGTGTTGTGGCTGCATTCTGCGGCTTGGATTGCTTTGCTTGTTTTTGCGGCTAAAAGGGAGGTGGGTTAGCTGATGGGAAGTGAGAGAAAAGGGAGAGCATACGTACGTTTGCAGGCTGGGGCGGCGGGGTAGGTAGCGTTTGAATGGGAGGTTGCTGGGTCGAGGGTTGCTGTTATGCCAGTTGCGAGGGCAAGGAGAGTGAGGACGGTTGGGGCGAACATGGCGAGGATTCTTGTTACTTTCCTCTCTTTACTGCGGGATATTGACGGTAGAGGGTGGTGTTGGTGGTTTGAACAAGTGTGGTATTATAGACGTAGCGAGATGTCGTCGTCCTCAAGTATAAGCACACCACCCCTTGAGCAATGACCCTGCCATTTTCCCCGATCTCTTTTTATACACATCTCATGAGAAGGACTGCCGATGATCCACATCGAACCCGCAAACAAGGTGTGCACGTTGCGCAAATGGCATGTTTCGAAACGATGAAACAGCGCTAGACAGGGTGGGATGGGTGGAGGTTGCGGGTGAAGTGTTTTGACATACGAGGTTCTAGAGTGGTGCAAGAATGGCTTGCGTCAGCGTGGTCCCTGCGGATATTACGATGAATCAAGCTTTTTTAATTGGGCGGGGGTATCAACGGAGTTTGGAGTAACGATCGTATTTGCCTACAATAGCAAGGTCGATACCGGCCCGATGCTTACCTTGTATTCAACCATGTCCTCTCGGTCCCACTCCACAGCCAAATAGATCAAATCTAGGCTGTGAGATGTTCAAAGTAAAGGTAGTTGAAATAGAACATTGAGATGGAGCTAAGTCACGTTTCATGAAGAGCTAGGGTATTGATAGGTTGCTCCCCCGCACAGTCAGCTGCCAGCAGTTACTCGTGCGCGGTCTCCACCTATCTCACATCCCCCACCATCCGCTCAGTGGACACGATAATCATGCTCAATGGAACACTGACAACAACCCAAGGTCAAGCATTTGGACCTCTGCCCTCTGAGCTGCTTCTGAACGTCTTAGACCAGCTCGTGGAAACATGCAACGATTACCGCCCTGTAGTACGCTCACGATTCGACATAGTAACCAGGACACTGCACTCGCTTACCTTAGTCTCACGCAGTGTCCACCCGATGGCTACCGAATATCTTTACTCAAACTGCGTGTGGCTGGATTGTCCAGGGATCTTGAGCCACTTTTGCGCAACATTAGGACTGGATCATGAGCATCAAACCACTGTACAAAATATCAAAGGACCCCCGAAACCTATTTTCTCGCGATACGTTACGTCGATACACATATCACCTGTACCAAAAAGAAACCTGTGGGAGGATGATTGGACAGACTCTATCAGATTACCGACGATCATCAACTTATTTAACACCATTGGGCCTAACTTGAAAAGATTGCATCTTAGCTTGAATCATTTCATCTTCTGTTGGGATGATACGGAAGCCGAAGGCTCGTATGTCATTGATCCTAACATTTACTCAAATATGTTGCTTCTAGAGGAGTTAATCATCTGCTGCTACGTCATTGGCCGTTTCCCCAACCCGCCGCAGTATATCAAACGACTTGCCATAGTTACTGATCATTTTGGAGATGCAGAATGCAACTTCTATCAATCTTCGCCATCTCTTGAATCATTGGTATTCTTGCGGCCATATACAATGACGGCTGATGACGTTGATACCCTCGTCGATTTGTATCAGGGAGAAAGTCTGGACATCATTCTTGTCGACATGGATTCATACTATACAACACCAATCGGAACACGGAACTGGAAATCAGATCATACAGTGCGTATATGGGAAGCTTCTATGCCGCCCAGCCGCGGAAATCCATCTGGCCAATGGATATGGGATCAAGGTGCTGCAGGTACACTATGGGACCAAAAGCAGCGACGCATGCCACTGTGGTCAGAAATTGAAGGAGATTAGCAGGGTCTGCATGCACCATTTTGGATACGACAACATTGCATGGCTGAATCGGCGATGATGGTATTTATCTAATCCAGATTTTCATCAGTTGTGACGCGGTATCTTACAACACGGGCGTTTCAGAATGGTGGTATAGGAATTAAAACAGAATTCTTTGGCTCATATTCAATAGGTTGCATGCGAAGGTCCTTACTATACTTGCCTCGTCGCCAGCCGCAAACAACCGCTCGACATTTTCTGCTTCAAAGTATCCCTCTCCAATGTCTGTCGCATGTTGAGCTCAAGTTCACATATGTCCCATTCAGCACGCAGACTATTGCCCCTCAACAGATCCGCTCGCCCGCCACCCAACCAAACAGAAAACAACCCCACCAACTCTGGATTAGAAATCTCTAAATCACTGTGTGTGAGTCTTGTCCGCTCCACTTGTGTCGGCCCTGAATCCAGCGAAAATGTTTTCATCATAGGATATTCAAAGGCCAGAAACTCTAAAAGTCGGCGGTCGATTTGTTGCGAAAACTCATGCGACGAAACCCCTGGACCAACGCAGAAATTCGCGCCGGACGTTACCGAAATAAAAGTACCAGTCGGAGATGGACCAAATGTGCGAAGGTATTGGTGAGCAGTGAGGTGTGTGGTGCGAAAGTTTGTCATTACGTCGGCCCACCATAAGTCGTTGTCGTCGATTGCACCCAAGTTCTCGAGATGTGTGATACCAACATTCGCGACTGCTACATCCAATCTACCGAAGATTTCTTTTGTCGTCGAGAAAAGGCTGTTTACGTCGAATGGACTTGTGGTATCGCAAGCCATGGCGACGATGGGGATGTTGGAGTCGATGCCTCTAATCTCTTCTGCGACAAATTCGAGATCCTCTGCGTTGAGGCTGCTGATTGCGATCCCGGCAGCGTTTGCTCTTGCCCATGATAACGCCATTTCTCGGCCGTTTCCGTGCGAAGCATTGGTTATGAGGACATATTTTCCGGATGCGCTGCGCTGTACTGCTTTGAGGGCCGGATACGGTTCTCGGTGGCAGATCATCGTCGGATGAGCTGTCAGCCCTGGCAAACCAGAGTGTAAATATCTCGTATCCATGGCTCTTCTGAGTGTTCCACAAAACACCATTAACGGCACCAAAAGATTGAGAAACGAAGCAGAATCCCAATACCCCACCTTCCTTTACGTTCGCGCACGTTATATCTCACACCTGCCTCTTGGATGCTACTAGCCAGTCAGCACTTGCTCTTGCATCGATCTACAAGATAGTAAGCCTTGCAGCAACGGAATGTACCCAAAGAACTACTGTCATTCCTTCTCATCCAAGTCAACAGGGCGCATGACACAACCCTGCAGCCTAGTAACCTCAAAGCAAACGATCTATGACCCTTCCCTGCAGCTATAAAATCCAGGCACCGCTCTCACTCCCAGCACAAAATTCCCCCGCGAAAGATAGCACTACACTACTTCGCATCTTACATTGTTTTAACCAATCACAAAACGGAAATGCAGGCGCCACTGCGGCTGGACGCTACGTATTAATCAATAGCCAACAGGGCAGTGAGAAATGAGAACCAATGGATTCTCGGATGTTTAGCGACCTGGGGATTGCGTGCATGTTGGTATGCAAGCCACGAACAGGGCTAGGGGGCGAGATGGCAGGGGTGCGGTCGGCGAAATATGACCGGGTGAGGAAGGTTGCGGGAGAGAAAGAATTGAGAATGGAAAACAAGGAAGATAGCAATTGCCTTCATGATATATATCCCGAACTTGCACCATGAGTAGAAATCATGTGTTGGGAAAAGAGATGATGAAACAGCTTTAGCTCCCTCGATCGTACCGTTGCCCTTTATGTGGAGTGAGCCCGATTACTTCCAATTCCATTTTAGATTTTTTCAGTCCTGAGAGAAAATCATTACCCCGCCATCTGTCAGTCATCAGCAAGTTAAACTATATAACTACTTTCTCCTGCTAGTTTACGCCCACTCTATAGTCCTACTCACGAACCCTGTCAACCGCACACTATCATCTTCCCCCGACATTCCTTGCTATCGCGCCAACGAATACACCCCACAAACCTCGTTCCAGTACATTTCTTTTTCTCTAGAGTTGCTAGAATCACCGATGCCTGTATGAATTCTGTTACAATACCTTCCGTGGGCCTGAATGACTCAGTGTACAAAAAAGAGTAGCGACGAAACCTAGAGCGTAAGCGTTTCAATCTCCGAATTTACCAAATCGTGCTATAGAGGTATTAAAAAGCATGGATCGTGGCACCAAAACGGTCGTGAACGTTTTAATTGGTAGTAAGATGCAAATTCAAAATGTGAAGAGATACGGCTCGTACGGTGTACAACTTGGAGAAACATCTAATTCCTGAGAGAAACTCTAGCATCAAAGCTCCTTCTTTCCCAACTTGCAGGACTTTTGCATCGTGGTACGCATAAGCTTTTGTGCTGAAGGAAGTTTACTGGAAGTTTCTCCTGGATTCATTATCGTACCTGTTTCTTGAAATATCCTTGTATGTAAATACTTTAGATACAACATGTAGTTGTTTATAGATTGAGCTACTATGGAAAACACGAATTTTGTACCATCATCTCGCATCTAGTATATTAGTCCAATGTTTCTCAAAAACATAGCGGACCGCGCCTCGATCTGCCAGCGTATGAAGAAACGCGAACAGTGCGATATTTTGTAACTTAGAACATCCAATTCGATACTGATTTGATCGATGTTAGTATAACACGAGTATAGAAAGTGATGATGCTACCAATGCCTCTTCCTCTCGTCATTTCAAATTCTCTGTCAATATTCATATTTTGTCTTGCGAGCTATTGTCGGGATAAGTGTCGATTCAAAACGCTAATCTCAAATCTCGGCTAGAAGCTTAAGTATACATTCCTTGATAACAAGCAGAGACACTGATTTTTGAACATGGAGCCGTCGTTGGAGTAAGCATTAGGAAATCGATGTAGGAGAAGTAAAGCGCGGTGCATGCTGCAGTCATATTATGAATCTTCCTAACTGCGGTACGAAAAGTTAATGTTCCTAAACTCATGTTTCCCTAGTGTTCTTTGTTCCTCCTGCTTTTGTTGCCCGGCAATCTTGCGCGGGAGCCATGACTCTCTGCCGATCCTATAGTATTTTCTGAGCCATTTCTTTGTTTGTTGAGCGCTTCAGTTATATGTCATATGCTTACGTGAGCTACATTGACGTTCTACCATGAGTTTTGGATCGACTAGAACGAAATTCTTGATTGCGTGTTTGGATTTGATACCGATCGGTTGACTGTTAGGTTTATTGCAGTGCAGAGTGCGTTCCAAGCTCAAGTAACTGTAGCAATGCTTTTCGCGTTGCTAGGTCATGTTTCCAAAATCTGCATGAAGTAATGACTCGAATCACTTAAATTCAACGTCTAACGGGAATGTTTTTAAACTCTTTTATACTAGTTAGATTGATTCGAAACGCTGTTAAACCAGTAAAGCTACTGCCGAGGGTATATACAAAAAAAGTTCCAACTTTCCGACCACCGTTCAATGTACCATATTTCTCCCAATTTCGCTTTCCCAGTTCTTCGCTCTCTCAAATCCATTGGAATGAGTCTGATAATCCATCATAGCCTGCACTACCTCATCTCTCGAGGTTACAACGAACGGACCGTATTGTACAATAGGTTGATCCAATGGCAACCCAGCAACCAGCAGAAATCTTGATTCTTTCTCGGCACCATCCTCAACTGATACTTCGACACTGTCGCCGTTACTCTCAAAGACGACATTGTTGTATTGTTCGATGGGTCGCGAAACGCCGTCGGATGACACTATGATCGTGCCGTTCAATACGTAGGCAAATGCGTTCCAGCCTCTGGGCAGCGGTTGTTTGACTTTACCACCTGGCTGGACTGTAAAGTCTAGCAACCAGACAGGTGTGTAGGCTAGCTCCTTGAGGCTCTCTACGCCATAAGCCTGGCCACTAATGACCTTGACTTTCACCCTGCCGTCGTCTCCGGTCGCCTCAGGTATCTCTTTGGCACGCACATCTCGATATCTTGGCTCGCATGACTTCAGCTCTTTGGGCAAATCGACCCACAGCTGCATACCGACGTTAGGAGTGCCGTCACTGTTCTGGCGGGGCATCTCAGCGTGCACAATACCGCGTCCTGCGGTCATAAACTGCAAATCCCCTTCTTCGATCGTACCCTTATTTCCTGCAAAATCTTCATGATCAACTGCTCCAGACAGCAAATAAGTCACCGTCTCCTGGCCCCGATGCGGGTGATCACTGAAGCCTGCTCCTAGCGGAATCGTGAAGTGATCGAGCATCAAAAAAGGTGAAAAATTGCGAAGTTTTGGCGTGCCGACGCTCCGCCTCACTCTGGCGCCGGCACCCTCAGATTGTTCGATTGCGAGGAATGATTTAGCAATCTTGCGAGGCGCATTGGTCGTATAGACCTCGTCAGGTATGACAGGGAGACCGCGGAACATGGTAGACGACATATTTTGGGTAGGGATGCGAAATGGATTGGTGACGTTTGTGAAGGGAGTAACGTGTCTAAGAGAGCTCGTTACTCGTGAGAGCATGTAATCGTTGTTATAGATGGCAAGTGTGATCGCGACGATTGCGAAAAAGATGGATGTGAGGGTCTTCATGGTGCCGGGGGACGCGCTATATAGCGGAGGCGACGAGGGCGACTAGAATCTTCGGACGCGCATTCGATGCGCGTGTGAGTGGATGACATGGTGGACTGGGTGGCTTAGTTGATGTTTAGCAACCAGCGATGGTTCTGCTGTCGCTTGGCAGGCGTCGATGCTTTGTCGAATCTGACCAAGCAATGCGAAATCATGGTGGGGCACTTTTTCGGAACGTGCAGCTTCCGATAGCCAATCGGAACCGACGCCACTACGGAACGCCCTCGTCATGCCTCAACACCTTGCTTTTATTCGATCCCCATCGTTTTTCTGATGGTAGCGTCGCAGCGCGCACGGGAAGGGGTCCCATCTCTGTGTTGGTTGAAATGGTCGTATGATGCGTCTTGGTCTACACAACGACTCTACATGCATGACTGGAAATACTGCAATGGACGCCGAAGGTTTAACTCCTCGTGACAGCTTTTAGCAACAGTATGCATGTTCTCGGTCCATAAGAAAAGAAAAGAAAAGAGAAATCCCCAAAAAGAATTATAATGTCCATTTCACAGAGAGTCATCCTTTGGAGAATGCGAAACGCGAGTCTCTCAGGCGCCCTTCTTCCTCGCCAACAGTGGACTTTGGATCACAATGCTGAACGCTAGCACATTTTTGAGTTAACTTGTTCTAATATCATTCTTTAGACCAATACATAGTTCCGAAATCAAGTCAAAGGGACAGACTTGCCTGAAGAAGTTGGGTATGATGGGCTTCGACAAGGACGAGTGGTGTCATCTCCACAGTTTTCCATGCTTAAGATAGTCTTACTCACTGTAAGACCAGGACAATGAGATCTAATACCTCTGTATGCGCGGAGTAGCTAGTTTTGCCTTCAGGATTTGATTCAGAGCTCTTTTGCAAAGGGTTGTTGCAAGTCTTAGTTCTTGTGTATTTCACTTGAAGAATGTAGAGGTTGCCAGTAGAGCAGATTGCTTTAAAGGTTAAGAGCAATTCGTTCTCGCAAACCCAAACACTTGATATCAAGCCTGTTTGTTAAAGCTTCTTTTCTTCCAGACTGTTGTCTAGTGAGCAAAGCTTCTTAGGGACTAAAATACATACATGAGCTACTGCTTCGTACAAAGAGCATTGATCCGATAATCATACTTGAGTCACCTTCATCACAAGCGATTTCCCTTGGAAAAAGGATTTCATATTATATATTACATGAAGGCAGCAAGTTGCTGAGAAGGAGTAGGCTAAGCTCCAGTACCCAAGTGGCGAGACTTAGCCGCTTCAGCCTTGCACGTTCATCGCCGCACAACCTCATCACTGAAGCAAACTCATTTTTATTGGAAGCAGGTAGCTAGACGGTACCAAGGTCGGATACGATGGGTCTCTAGGATATCCAGTGTCCGGACAGCTCACATAGTTGTGCAGCTTGTACTATTATCACGTGATACTCTGTTATGTAACCTCCAGGATCGCGTCGTCCCATCCAGGATTTGTAGCCTCTGAGAAACGAACAGTTTTCGTATTACTCGTCCAGCTGATCATGAACAGGCGTGGTTATAATAAACTTTCAATCATACAAGACCACGTGCAAACGATCCTTCTGCTGGCACAGTGGCTGTATGGGGAAGTTGTCAGCCCTATCGTGCCCCGCATTATCTATAGTGGTTGCCTTCTCATGCTCAGTCTTCTCAAGTTGTTCTCTCCTACCACCTCTCGACTTTTAAGGCCCAATGTACTTGCTAAAATCTTCATTTAAGTCACTTGCAGTCATTATATTTCTTCAAACAGTCACACATTTACACGGACAATACGATCGGACACCCCGTCGAACCCCTTCGCCACTCTATCGGAGAACCGAGTGATTGTGAAACTCATATCCTCACGCTTCCGATGCTATGCTCTTTTGTATTATATTGCCGCTTAATTATACACACCAACGATGAGGCTACTGAATACCGAAACACTCGAACTAACTTCCTTCGTTGGCCAAGTACTGGACTACGTCATCCTGTCACATCAATGGGAAGAAGAAGAGGTAGTCTTTGAGGATGTCTCCAAAGTTCCTCTCAGCCGCCAAACCAACCGAGCTAGAGCGAAGCGAGGGTTTGCCAAAGTTCTAGGCACTTGTGCCCTCGCGGTCAAGGACGGCTTCAAATGGGTCTGGATTGACAGCTGCTGCATCGATAAGTCCAGTTCTTCCGGGTTACAGGAATCGATCAACTCAATGTTTCAATCGTACCAGCGAGCACAGATTTGCTACGCATATCTCAGCAATGTTGCAGACATCTCCTCTGGCTGGGGTGAAGCTTTCAGTAGAAGTCTGTGGTTCACTCGCGGATGGACACTGCAGGGGTTGCTAGCCCCTTGCACCGTAGAGTTCTATTCGGCAGACTGGAGACCAATAGGAACCAAGTTTTGCCGATCCAAACAAGTCGCCTCCATCACAGGGATCGAAGTTGCGGTCCTGGAGTCTGACTGGGTGACTGCAGAAGATAAATTATCTGCTGCACAAAAGTTATCGTGGGCTGCACACAGACACGTATACAAGGTGGAAGACAGATGATATTGCCCTTTCGGACTCTTCAACATCAATTTGCCGCTCTTATATGGCGAAGGTGAAGTCAAGGCATTCCGAAGACTGCAGCAGTGTATTTTTCAGGAAAACTCCGACCACAGTCTTTTCTTATTTACCCGGAGCCCTTCTCGTCCCAACACACCAATGCTAGCCGATTCGATCCAGAGATTCTGCACAAATAAGACTTGTGGCGTGTGCAAAAATCATGCGGAATGCTTTTGCTCAGATATACAACCTTACCCAGAAATTGTCTCAAATCAGCGTCTTTGGTCAGCCGGTTTGCAATATGCCCATTATATCCAGCTATTGAGGCACAGTATTGTAATCAAGATGCCTTTAGTGCGGTACAATAGTCTTTGTAGAGAAGAGCGAAACTCCCGCAACGTACCCTTTCCAGCTCAAACAGTCATCGCCATATTGCCTTTGTCACCGCGGAGCCATGAATATGCACTTTTTGAGATTTTGCTTCAACAGATATCTGCCGTGAGTTATGTACGTTTGTCGGGGAAACCTCACCTTCTGCAAGACGATATGATCGGGGCCAGCCCGGCAGAACTAGGAGCCTACACTGTTCACGATACCCATCCCAGTAGTGGTCCAGATCCTATCGGAAAGATCATACCTGGTTGGGTTGACCAGAACTGGCTTAGGAAATGTATCAAGATTAAATCTCGCAGCGCCACCCTCCTAACGGAAAAGTGCCATTGCGAGAATGGAGGTTTTCCTACTACAACATGTATTGGCATCGAAGCGCAATTTCCGCTACCAAGCCATCACCAAGATCATTTTTCAGTTACAGTTTCTTTCCGAGATGTTAGTGGTACAATGTTATCTGGAACGATCATTTTGGGAGATTCCGTTACTCAAATGGAGTTGCGTGAGATAAGGCTGTCCGATGGCCCAAACGTCGATCATCCATATTTTCTGAAGCGAGATAATCAGACTCAACGTTGTATGAGAGTCTCTGCCCCAATACCCAACACAGGAGATTTCATTGACGTTACTCTCCGCAAGTTCCCAGTCATCGAAGTTGAGTTCTCAATGGGAGAAAATTTCAAAAAGTCTTCGCGAAATAATGCCGCAACTAGTATCTGGGGTGGTGAATTAGGTATCTTAAAACACCAATATCGTTTAGATATTCATCGTTCGTCGGAAGAAATAGGTAGCTCCGTACCACAAATCATCTATTGTACAATATTTAAACTTGATACTTATTTTATCTACTCTCCACCATTCTCTGACGAACTTTAGACAACCGGCCCAGCACCTCAAACAACCTATCAGCACCTGACTCTTCACGGTCGACCAGCATTAGCACGAACTTTAGAGAGTTTATATATTCCTCCGTATCGTTGGGCTAATATATCGAAATGCTATGTAAATACGCCTGCCAATGCAACCCCATGTACACACCTCGGCCGTACCTCATGATATACACAAACCTTTCCAACAGAAATAAAGAGAGAGAGAGAGAGAGGGGGGGGGAGAAACGAGAAAAGTAAACCTAAACACTCAAAGCCGCCGGTGCCAACCCCCCATTCACCTGCGCAATCCCCGCCTCCGCCTCTGGCTCTACCTCAGTCGTCGTTTCCGGCACTTTAATCCTCTTAGCCTCCAATTCCTCCCCCTCCGCCTCCCTCTCCTTTCTCTTCTCTCCCTTTTCCTTAACCTCCTCCTCGGGCCCCCTCGCCTCCTTGACCCTCGCCCTTTTCGACGCTCTAGACTCTTGAATCGGAATACCCAGATGCTCATCCACCTTCTGCGCCTGCTCCAACAAACCCTCTACTTTCTCCAACCCCAGTGCTTTAACAACATCGGTATAGCACTTCGACTTATTCATCGCAGCGTACGCCTTTTCTTTGCCCGGAATCATTTGGCCAAGGAGGTACTTGGTGTTGCCCCATCTGTTGGCGACTTGGAGGGCAAACCGCATGTACTCTGTGACTACGGTTTTCCACTGAGAGCGCCATTCGTGGGGGCCGCCTAGGGCTTCGGGCCGGAAGCAGGAAGGGTTTTTCTCGGCTTCGGTAGCGATCATGGCGCCGTCGACGGAGAATTCTTGCATGAGTTTGAGGGCTTCGGTGCGCGAGGTTACGTCGCCGTTCATGACGCAGGCAACGCCGGCTTCTCGGCAGATTTCCCCAATCATTTTGAGTTGGTCGCGGATTGCGCGCTCGCGGGGGCGCATGGGCGTGGTGCGGCAGTGGACAGTGAGACCGGTGATGCCGGTGCGGACGAGGCGCTTTACCAGGGCGGCAGTGTCTTCGGGCTGGTCGAGGATGCGAATCTTGACGCTGATGCCAATCTCGAATGGCTTGCCCACCTCTTCGACGAGTCTTGTAAGGATGTCACAGAGCAGATCTGGTGTTCTCAGAAGTGCTGCGCCCATTCCACCAGAGGTGGAAAATGGCTTGGGGCAGCCTGAATTGACATCGATGCCAGCGACATCTGCTGCGACAATCTTGGCTGCTTGGACTGCGAGCTCGGGGTTTGCCGTACCGATTTGGTAGATGAGCTTTCCCTTCTCTAACTCGGGGTGTATGCGGTATATGACACTCTCGCGGAGGTCAGGGTCGAGGGTTGGGTTCTTTATCTTGGAGGTAGGCAGGCGTGTAAACTCGAGCGTCGACGTGTGCGGGTTGAAGCGCCTTGTGGTACCGATGATGGCGCGATCAATTGTCTCGGGACCCCATACCAGGTCTGCGCCGTACTTGAGTGCCAGCAGTCGTGAGGGCAGTTCGCCGGAGCGCACCATTGGCGCAAGCACTATTTTGCCGCGGTAGTCGACGCCATTCTTGGGGATGGGTACGCGTGCGGGCTCGGGGGAGGCCATGGCTCGTGTTATTGTTCGCAGGAAGGTTCGAAGCATAACATGCCTTGGGAAGAACGAGCTTTCGCAAGGCCGAGTGCGAGGGTGGGGGATTTGACGGCCGGCGGCGATCTCTACTGCGGTGTAAAAGTTGGGCGCAGGGGCCAGGGCCGAGGGGCTTTTAGCGCCACAAAACTTATCGATTGCAGGGTGCTTGGAGGAGCAGGTGGATGAAACAGTCTGCAGTAGCAAGATACTGCTATGTGGGCTCTCAGGCTCTCAGATCCGGGCCATTGGTTTTCCGGGGCCTCAAGAAGCACCCAAATCCACAAATTCTTTGTTCGCGGTAGAGGTCCGACGTATAATCGCTGAATTTGGGCTTCGACGCCCAGTATCGGATTAGTTCTTTAAAGGTACTTCACAACCCACAAGCGTCGATCTTGGCTTCAGATTCAGGTAGAAGACTATACGATATACAATAAAATCAATACGAGAGATCATATAGAACTTACTGTACCAACTCATTTCCGCGGGGGTTGTTAACGCGATATCAAATGACCATTTCAAGGTGATTATCGTTGGTGTTGGACGAGTCAAGCTAATCGCTGCTCATACGTTGTATTTGGCAAACATTGACCTTGTTGCTTTGGAAAGGAACGGTGATGTAGACGCCGATGTTGGGGCGAGCCTTGCGCTTGGGGCTGGAAGCATGCGATTCATGCAACAGCTAGGCCTGCTCGACAGGTTGTTGTCGGATGGGGAGAAATTGAAGAGGAGCAAACCTTTCACCAAGGATGGCAAAATATTCGCAGAAGGTACATCAGCTAATATTACGTGAGAACAATAAGTTAGGTTTTTTTACTTACATGATCGATTGATCAGACATCGTCCGAATATTGCCTAACTTTCACTTTTAGCTTTGGCCCTGAACTTGTCGCGTTCCGTCGAGCCAACTGTGTTCGAGCTTTGCTAGAAAGTTTGCTAAAGAGCGTAATAGAAAATGCTTCCTTGTTCACAAAGTTGTCGATATTTTAACGCCCAAAACATGCGTGGTTGTTACTTACGCCTATGGAAAGGCATTCTCCGATCCGATAGTGCTTAGAGCTGATGACGTGCACAGATAAACGCGAAAAACGATGCACCAAATTTCCTCTGAGAGTAGGTTCACAGCGTAAAGGAACCAGGAACCGACCTTCTCAGCGAGTTACCAATGCCGGTGGTTAAACATCCCACGACTATGTGTAGCTGAGCAAGCATTCGATACCCAGAGCAAAAATCGATTCATTATGTGGATTGTCGACCGTGAAAGTACTTGGATATCTCTGTACGAGAAGTGGCTACAGCCTACCGAGAGCCCAAGTAATATGCCAAGACAGAGATGGATGAACTTGCAGCTAGTCTCGTGGACTGGCCAGTAACTGAGAGCCCAAAGGCCAAGGACCTCTATAAAAGTGCAACAGCAGGTATTCCGAACTTGGAAGAGGGCAAACTTGAGCGCTGGAGCCTGGGACGGATCGTGCTGGCCGGCGATACTTGTCACAATTCCACGCCTAACGCAGGTCTCAGCTACACGAATGGGATTCAAGACATAGCCTTGCTCTACAACCTACTCCGCAACGCTGTCAAATCCAGTTTAGACTCCGAGACTAGCGAGCATGATCTTGGAGAGATTTTCGAGGGATGCCAGACTGTATGAAAAGAAAAACTCAAATTCGACTGGAGCTTGTCTAGTACAACAACGCGAGGGCACGCCTGGACAAATCTAGTGCTTTTAATTTTGTTATCGATTTTTATGGCTTTGTATGCTTTCCAGTAGATTGTGCAGAACCATGGTGTTAACTCACGGATAAAGCAAAGTAGGATCCTCAGCTACGTCTTTGGTAAAGACCACATCAGGGGCCCCATTCTATGGATGTGTCTAATCCGTCCTAAACGGTAGTAGCTTAGAACTAGAAATGGATCTCTTTTGCACGTATGGATAGATTTTCAATACCATGTCTTCTCTATAACACGTTCCTAGACCAGATACATCTCTTGCGTTCCTTGTTGCGCAATGCAGCAGTCTATATACCTTTCACCATTCAAATCACATTAATATATAAGTCTCTGGCAAATCAATATAAGAAAGCAATTGTCGAATGGAGATTCAAGGATAGATAAGCTTGCCCACCGAATCGGCGTTGATTTCTACTAACCCCACTTGCGTTCTAATCCTAGTTCAGATTCGTCCCGTTGTTAATGCCCTTGTACTTGATTGTGAATGACGGACTCTCGGAAACGTCATATTGCTTGGTATCATTCACGTCTCCAAACAAATGCAGTGCCGAGATCCGAAACTTGTAGCTACCTGGAGGTACAAAAGACCCATCGTTCAACTGTCCGTTCCAGGTCCAGGGATACAGTTTACGTGTAGTCCATTCATTCGGCGAACCTATCGCATGTCCTAGATTAGTTGTATGGTTGCTTGTTGACAATATCTCAATGTTGATACGTGGGCTGCCAAAGACCGGCTTAATAGCAGCGACTGGAAGAGCATCGGTGATGTTCGCAATGTCCGTGATGTTGATTTGCGGAAATAAGAAATTCAAGTTATCACCGAGAACAAGCGCATAGTCGGGATCATTCAAGCTGCTTGATACATATGTCGTGGTGTTCAAGACAGTGTGCGCATTCAGATCTCCTGCAATACCCTGGTAGGGAAGAGATAGACTCTCGCCGTTTGTGCCATTGAGTCGAATATAGCCTCCATATACTGGAAGTCGAGCGGGAGCTCGTGATGGCGGTATAACGTGGACAGAAATCGTGGATTTGCCGCCAGCAGGGACAGTAACTTTGTACTCGCTTAGGTGCACTGTTGCAAAGGAACCGTCAAGTTCAAGTCCGGGGTATGGGTCTGGCGTCGTACTGTTGGAGAATGTGTAAGCGGTAGCCGCTCCAATGACATCCAGCTCATAAGTAATGGCTTCTTGTCCTGTGTTCGAAATGGTGAAGTTTTTATCGGTTAGTCGAACTGTATCATTGAAAGCAAGACTTGAATCGCTCAACACAGTAGTTGCGTAAGCAGCATCGTAGGCCTGGAGCAACCCAGCTCCTTGTTGTGCGATTGGCGCAAGCCATGGGCTGATGTCACCATCATTATTTGCTTGCACGGGTTTGGCAGTAGCAGCAAGTACATTTTGAAGCTCCTGAGGGTCAAAAGTCTTCCGTACGTTCGACAAGAGCGCATAAATAGCGGCAGCAAGCGGAGCGGCCATAGAAGTACCAGATATGATAGTGTAAGAGCCTAGAGCCACGGGGTAAGTCGACAGTATATCCCCTCCAGGTGTGCCAAATGTAGGTTTTACACCTGCCTCCCATGTAGGGCCCCAATTCGACAAAGCGCTCACAAATCCACCCGTAATATTGTTGGAGCTATGAAAAGGTGTGACTGGGAGCCTGTTTACGTTGGGAATATCCAATGTAACAACCTTTCCAGCGGCCAGATCTCTCACCCAAGTAGCGCCTTGTGTGGATGAAACCATACCAGTGGCTGTTAGGTTGTAATTTTCCAGGACAAGAAAACGGTATCCGGGAACATTGTTGTAGAACACGATATATTTGGCCCCATGGGCCACTGCGTTTTGCACTTTGTCATCGAAGAAACAGGTGCCACGACGGATCAGGACGACCTTTTCTGATAGGTCTGGCGTTGTACTAGGGAAAGGATTGCATCCTTGGTCGGCCTCGCTAGTATTGAATGATGGAGTCCAGAGTGGAAACTTGACGCCTGTCCAGTCGCGCGGCAAGCCGATCGAAAAGTCGAAACTTTGTTTCGCGTCACCTGATACTGAATAGGAAGCTCTACTCAACACAACAGGCGTTACGGTGTTGTCGAAGGACGCGATAGAAGCAACGCCGTTGCCTGATGCTGGGTTGAATGCGTAAAACAGCCCGTTTGCACCATCGTTCCCAGCAGAGGCAGTGATAATCACACCTTTAGCCACGATCCGAGTAGTAACAGCGTTTAGCGCTTCATTACTCCATCCATTGTAATACCCAAAAGAAGCAGTAATGATGTTAGCATCATCCTGTTGGGCGCGCAAAAAGGCAGCAATCATGACTTCGGTCGTGGCAAGACCTCTGCAACCAAATATGCGGTAGGCTGCTAGCTTAACACCCTGAAACACATTAGAGGAGACCTATGAAAGCCTTCTAGGAATACATACAGGAGCAGCCCCTGTAAAACCGAGTTCATTAGGCCGGGCAGCGATGATACCAGCAACATGCGTACCATGTCCCTAATTCCAGTGAGTACTATCATCTTACATGGGAACTCTGCACGCGGAAATATACGCTACACTGGTCTGATGGGTCATCATCGGGAACGGGAGTATTATCTCCATTGTAGTCATCTCCAACGAGATCATAACCACCAACGACTAAGCAATGGGGACCGAAACAACCACCAAGAGCTGGGTGGGTGTAATCAATCTAGGTTCAGATCAGTATCTTTGCATGGAGAAAAAGGATAATACGTACGCCAGTATCGATGACTGCAATCTTCACACCTTCGCCAATGATACCCTCTGCTCGTAACTTGTCCACTTGGGTCTGGACATGGGTCGATAATGTGTCATTGTCTTGCGACCGTCTGGCCACCTGGTCGAATGCTGATCCCGCTGGAGTGCGGGATGCAACTGCATTGATTCTAGCATCAGGTCTAGGAATAAGTCGGTTTGGCCAGACGTTTTTGATAGCCGGTTGCTCTAGTAATTGAGCGATGCGCTCACCTACAGGCTTCTTATCTTCGAACCGTATAGCAGCGCCCTGAAACAATTCGTAGTTCAAATCTAGCGTTTTAGTTGCGCCAACATCGTTCAAAGCAGATGAGCCTTGCTGCACACACTTAGCAAACTATACTGGCGAATTTTGTAGGCTATTATTACCGATGCATCCTCGTATTCAACGATGAAAGCTCCTGGGATAATCTGTGCCACCTCTGATCCAGCTACAGCACCAACGAGAATAGATAAGAGGTATGGTGCCCAGAGCATGGTGACAACCTGTCAGGAAAAGAATGTGTGATATAGTGAAAGAGAGCGAATACACGCAGCGCGTGTGTAGTAGAAGGGAGTGTCCAGAAGTAGAGACAGGGTGGCCTGGACTAGGATGGGGAAGTATAGTCATTATGTATATCGGGAGAGATTGCCCCGTGCCAAGTCTCAATGCCTTGCCTCGAATGACATTCCATGCGGTTATAGGACGAATCTGTCAATGTTCAGCAACCCGGAGCCCTGCCATCGTTGAACGGGTAATCTTGTCAGTATACACGCCAACATAGTGCACTTACTGTCGGGCCTTTGAGCCGCTCGCGGCAAACAGCAACTTGAACGAGACGCTAAAAGGACTAGTAGCTTTGTTGAATTGGCAAAGCGATCCCGCCCCTCCTTCTCGTACTGTGTAAGCGCTAGCCCAAAGTACTGTGATTGCAGTATTCCACTGTATGTGCATACCATCTACATAATATCAGCAGCTGTTCTACCCACGTATACCGCACAAGGCGCCGTTCAAAGCGTGTTGTAAGGGTTGGTTCAGCTCAAAGTGCGTCTAACCCTTTGAACGCGAAGGGCACCCAATGGCATATATTCTACATGATAATCACGCGAATGTTTTCGTGAGTATAATCGCACGCTCTAAAAACGGCTGTTGCCTTTAACGAACCATACTTATCGTTTAGCCTCAGCGCGTTTCACCCTGGCCTTCTTTATTGCCAATGAGTGATGCAACCGGATGATACTCATGTGCTAAAACTCTGATAAGCTTATTGAAGGGGCTATGTTTTTGGACAGGGGGTTCTGCGATGATACCCTAAACTAGGAAATGCTAGGAAGGTCGTGTAATCCTACCCTAAGCCTATGCGCAAGGAACGTTGCCCACTGGAAACTTCCTTGTAGCATGAAAAGGGTCATTTGGTTCATCGATCTTAAGAACACACGCGCATCATAACGTGCACGTGTGGTGAAATTCCCTGTGGTCATCTTTCATGCAGAAATTGTTGAGTCTTGTATCCATGTGCCAAGAAGTGAAATAAAGCACATTATACTGATCGGGACTGAAAGTGGGGGTAGCACAGAGTAGGCGGTAGGACCTAGACTATATACAGTATAGTGTTTATCAAATCGATCGTGAATGGCCAACAAGTAATTCTTTTACACGGACTGGATAGAGGGCTGTCCGAAAAAGCGCCTCATCATGATTCCTGGCGTCTCCACATACGAAGCTTTGATCCACTACCAGGTAAGTGCTTGAGTACAGTAAGGAGATCTTGGAGCAGAAGCTCCGGGGACTCATTGCAGCTCTTTCGTTGAAATGACTACCTTGGCCATGAAGTCATCATTGCTCTCGATACTAGATTCTGGCAGGTTGAGATGCGGTCTGATTTCCTCCCGCTGCACAACGAATACACGTAATCGACATTATTGGGCATTGGTTGGTTTCATCAACACTTTAATAATGAAAGACTTCACGGAACCGGCTATTGAGTTCGGCCCGTTCTCCTGAAACCTGACACCGGAAGCACATATCTCCGGTGGTCCGGCACTAATCAACTATCAAACCCTTGGCAAATGTCATGATATTCATTGTGTACGTACATCAGAGATGTACTGGAGTATGTAGAGCCTGCTCAGCTATCTCGTCTTCCATCTCCGTTTCCTTGTCCTTTAGGGCTAGGAGCTTCGATGGGGCTACTGCCTGGTTCTTATACGGATTGAGATAGAAAATGGAAATGGCTGTTCGACCAGGGCTCTGTTTTGTGGCGTTCACTTGTCTGTTGTGCTAAACACCACACTATTGCCAGCTAAGTTTTCTATACGAAGTCCAGATTGGGCTTAGCAGACAAAAAATGAAAGCAAACCGAAGAGATACATAGCATAAAGTACAGGTGGTCAAAATTAAGGAAAAATTGAGCTAATCAAAAGATTGATTATTTTCCATTCTGTGTGCATTCATGGACATAAGTGAAGGTAGTATGAGATCATACCAGAATAGCTGAAATGCGCGTCATCAAGTTTTGAATCCTTCTAGTAGCTCTAGAAGGCGGGATATAAGAACCTAGTGGTACTCATCATGAGACACAGCCACCAGGATCTCGTCATCGCCATACCTGGCTTTTCAATCTTCTGTATGTTCTATAGAGTTATCAAATAGGCAAGGAATTCATGGCGACGTTAATCTGCCAGGTAGGCGCAATGGTAGCTGCGTTGATGCGCTGGGTTGTTTGCACGCTATATCCAAGCCCAGCCTCTAACAACTCATATATAATGCATACAGTAATCACTATCCATGGCACAGCTTTTATCATTAGTTGAAAGATTATCGTAAATAATTATCAGCTACAAGACTGTCTGAAACGAGGCTGAGCGGTAGCAACCCCTAACCACCGTCTCTACCGCAGTTAACTCTTCACAAAATCCCGATGCAGTATTGACAGAATTCCTTAGCATTTATTTGTGAGACTAATCTGGAACGTTTCTCCTCCGCAACAAGATTGCGATTGCTCTGGTTAGACCTAGATTATGTGTTTCCCTTTGGCACTTTGTGCAAAGGAAACTGGCATTTCGCTCAGTAGAAGACTTTTTTACAAGATTCATGTGAGCTATGATCATTTCTGCAAGGCTTCGGATGCAGTGGCCAGCAGTTGGCATGTTTTTTGACACGGTCCGCTACTTGCACCTTTAAGGTCAAGAAGTCGATCATGTCCAATCTTAACTCGGATAAACATTGATCATAATTGACAAGAACGGGCATGATATCGGTATTTCCATCATCTTTCAACTGCTGGTTTGGTCTCGTTCCGCTGTTCTCTGTTGATTCTTTGTCTAGGTTTATTCTTAGGAAGCAAATATCCCTTGTTGTTCCAGCAAAATACTACATCCTCTGCCAGTGATGGAAGAGGACGTTAATTTTACTTGCTAACGTGGAGTATTATAGACCCCCAAAGCATGTGAAGGTATCTAGCGAAGATATTTTGCAGAAGACTGGGTCAATTGGGATACTTCTCCAGCTTTCGCTAACACGTCTGGAGTAGGGATTGAAGCGGGCAATTTGGGCGCGCCCTCAATCATCTTCGCCTATAGAAGGGCACTAATCTTGATGTAATCAATGCATTGCGCCGTTCGTCAAGTTGGTAATGCATGCATTCCAGTAAGATTGCCGTCGCCTCTGAGACGGCTTCGCCTGACCTCCAGCCGAAAATGTCGCATCTTTAGAAACGTAGGGAATGTTGTACACATGTAACATCGAGAAAATGTTCTAGTTTTCAAACTTTTGTGTCTACATTCGCGTGGTTGGACACCTGTAACGGTAGCAGTATCCGCTAGTTGGGTAAAGGTAAGGGTAATGTACTCTACAAGAAGATGAGTTGTACGTGGAAGGTAATGGCCAGATACTTGAAGCGCCGGTAATACCTCAAGTCAGATGTTTGCATATTACCTGGTTGCACGGTAGAGAGTCAATTTTTGAAAAACACGAAGGATGTAGGATTTGGGTTGAGATGTACGAAAGGCCACCCAGGCGCATTAGCGCATGCCTGGTGGATCTAAAGTAGGCTGCGTGAGGGATATCACCCGAACCACAAGCCAATGGCACTGGCCCGTCTTCCCGGGCACTACCTCGAGTTGATCACATTACAATGCCGCAAGAAACCAAGCTCGAAACATACACACACCCGACTCAGGATCCACATTCTCGAATTATAATCGATGCTGTATACACTGCTATTGTGTTGTTACCCCGCGCAGTTCGTCCCGTTCTCACATCCGTCGACAACGATTTTCATGCAGGGTTGCCGGACCATTTTCCACTTGCGGACTGTGGCATTATGCCTTATTGTAACTCCTTCTTTATGTATGAGGGTATGAAGGCTAGTTTTCTAATCGCAATGTTCCATTGAAGCACCCCCATTCAATCATGTTTTTACGCGTTTTCGCGCCGTTTGCTGCTGTGATCATCACTTCGATATACCCCCTTGTGTCATGTAGCCCGACGACTTCATCCGATATTATATGCAGGACCCCAGCCTCAGGTATCGATCTGCAAGCCCTGGTTCCGAAGCTCTCACCAAACGCCAAAATCTACCTCCCCGGCACCCACGAATTCATCACCTACACAACGCGTTGGTCCAACCTCGAAGCTCCGACGCCCAGCGTTGTGATTGCGCCTGGTACGGAAAACGATGTACAGTACATTGTGAGTTATTGAGCGACCGGTGTCGAGCCCGTGACTGATCGAGGAACACATGCTCTAGGTCAAATTCGCAAACGAGCATGACATTCCGTTTCTTGCTTACAACGGGCATCATGGCACACTTACCACATTAGGTAAGATGGAATATGGAATAGAAATATATATGCCACCGCTGGATTCAGTTACCATCAGCAAAGATGGTAAATTCGTGACTGTTGGTGGCGGTATCAACTCTAAGAAATTGATTGATACGCTTTGGGCAGCTGGAAAGCAAACCGGTAAGATCTACCCATTCAAGATATTGAAAGTCGTTATACCCTAAGTCAAAATAGTCACTGGATGCTGTGAATGCGTTAGCTTCCTGGGGCCTGCATTGGGTGGTGGGCATGGCTGGTTGCAGGGTCATCACGGGCTCATCACGGATCAATTTGAGTCGATGAACATTGTCCTCGCCAATGGTGACTTCAAAAGTATCGACAGCCGATCTGATCTTTGGTGGGGCATGCAAGGGGCGGGCCACAACTTCGGAATCGTCACATCGGTTACTACCAAAATTTACGACATCGAGTACTCGAACTGGGCGATTGAGACAATTGTTTTCAGTGGAGAAAAGGTTGAAGAGGTCTACAAAGCTGCTAATGAATACATCTTGAGGGGTGGAAATCAATCCACTGAAATCCAGAATTGGTCGTACTGGCAGAACGACGCTACACTGGATTCGGAAAAGGTAAAACGAATTATGGCGAACCAAACATACTTGTGTAATTTCTAATGTTATTACAGCCAGTTATAATCATGTACATCATTC